TATCACTACAGAATAAATTATGGTCCATCTATTGTAAAGGACATTATAGTACAGGTAAAGATGAATGAGTTGAATCTATATATACTCATGTAGAAAGCTCTCTAAGATCTACTATCCAATGAAAAATAAAAGTAATAACACCTAATATGATCTACTCTACAGAGATACCCTCCACGTTGATGAGCTCGGCAGTAAGGTCTGAAAATGGAAGAAGTAGAGAAGGGAAACTTTGTTTGTTTGTTTGTTTGTTTGTTTGTTTGTTTGTTTGTTTGTTTGTTTGTTTACAATGAGAACTATCCAAGAAAAAGGTGGTTATTTGTACACCAATGTTTATAGCAGTATTACTCACAACAGCTAAAGGTGGAAACACGTATGTTAATATTATGANATTCCTGACTTATCTGATTTATTTAACAACACATTAAACCCTTACTATGCACTGAGATTTTTATAAATGTTAATTCACAATTCTTATAACAATACTAAAAAGTTACAATTATTATTATCTCCCTGTTATAGACAAGGAGAGTCAGGCACGGAGTAGCTCAGTAACTTGCTCAATGTCACTGTCTAGAGCCAGAATTTAAACCCAGCTCTACTATTTCGAGAGTCCTTAAAACTTGTCCTCCTGATGGCCTGCCCTGGGCATCCTGTATTGGCTGCCCCACGCTCCAGCCAGGCACCACTCACACCCACACAGTTTCCTGAGTTCAGTGTGCACCTCTCAGCAGCACTGTGTTCCGGGCAAAGCCTTGACTGAGTTCCAGTCCCGACTCTGCCACATGTGAGCCTTTGCCTTCGCACGCTTCCCTCCACTCTTCTTGTTTTCTTATGTCTTCAATGGGAATAACAACTCTGGTTCTACAACTCTTTCTAGCAAGCTGTCATGGGGACAATGATATAGTGAACTTGCAAAAGCTACACATGCCAAAATGCTGTAAACCAATATGAGGTAGTATCACTCTGGGAAAAGCAGGATCACGAACAGGGTAAGAGCTCTGCTCTAGTGTTCAGTTTCCTGTTTTCAATCCTGGGTTGAACAACAGCTTTTCGCTATCTGACCTTGGACAGTAACTTATGCTTTCTGAGCCTCAGTTTCCTCATCTATAAAAAAGTGATATCACAGTCGTGCCTACATCGTAGGATCGATATAAGGATTAAACGAGATAACAAAGGTGAAGTGTTTATGAGCATGACAGGCACACAGTGAGAGCACAGCACACGAAGGTGATGGCTCACCACCAGCACCCCCACCAAGTTGTGTGGGGTTTTCCCCAAAGCTCACTCTCGGTTCCAGTTAGGCTGTGGCCTGGCCCTACCACACTCTGTCCCAGCCCCAAAGTGGGGTAGTCAGAGTCATCCTGCAGGCCCCTTGCATGCCCATGAATCTGGCTCAGTTAACCAAGCGTATAGTTGTCCACTGGTTCATTCTAACATTCATACTACACTGAATGGATTCCTCTTGTTTGTGTGCACTGTGAGATAGGACCTCTAGCCTGTAGGAACCAGTTTTGTGAAAAAAAACACAGCAGTAAATAACTGACACAGGAAGAGGCGCGAGTGAGGCTTCCTGGTCTAGTGCCTGAGATGCAGCAGGTGCTCAGCGGGTGCTAAGATATCCTAGCTCCGATTTTTTCTACAATGTGGGAGCCCTACCCCAGGGGTGTACGTGAGGCTGTCAGAGCCCCGAGGGCCTCCCAGGCTTGAGGTCTGAGCATACCTACTTCTGCACCGCCCTTGGGCTCTTTCTTCTCTTTCTAGTTTTGTGCATGACCCTCCTCCATCTTTCCCTGTCGGTCTTTTGTCTTTCTAGTAAATGTGTCTTCCTCTCAGACTCCTACCTTGTTCCTCTGTGCTTGTCCTGCTCCGATCTGATCTCACCAGAAAGAGTTCCATGGGCCTCTGTCCCTCTTGGTCCTTGTATTTCTCTGCCTCTCTCAGGCTCTTGGCTCTGTCGGCCATGCCCGCCCCTCTCTCTGGGTGGGCCTCCATCACTTTCCCATACGCTCTGCTCTTCCTCTCCCTCTACCCCAGCTTCTGTCTCTTTCCCTCTCTGGGTTTCTCCTTCTTTCTCTGGGTCCTGCCCCTCAGGATCTCTCTACCCACGCAGGTCTTTCTTGCTCTCTCCGGTCTTCTCTCTCTCCAGGGTCACTGTCCCTCTTTCAACTNGAAGACAAAAGATGAACTAAAACATAATTAAGGTTTAGGAGGAAAATGATCAGCTCCATTTGGAACCTGTAGAGCATGTATAGTCTTCAGAACATACATGTGGGAGTATCCTGAAAATCTAAGTCTGGAGCCCAGGAGAGAGGTCTTGGCCAGAGATGGGACTTGGGGATCATCACCACATGTAGCTGTGACGGACCAGGGCACGAGCCCTGAGAGGTGGGTCTGTGGACTGAGCCCTGTGTTTCAGGGCAGAAACCAGAAGGAGGCAGGAGCAGAGCTCCATCTACAGCACCAGCTTTGATGGCAGCTCTCCCAGGAAGTGTTTTCAGACTTGCCTCTCCCAGGATCCTCTCTCCTAAGGCCCCTTACTCAGCCTGTCTTATTGCATCATCTCTGCTCACTGCTGCCAGCTCCTTAAAAAAAGTGCCAACACCAGCCTGCTCCTGTTTATTTCCCCCACATCTAGCACCGGGTTGAGCTCCTAGCGTGGCTCCATGAATGATTGTTGAAAGGAGTGAAATCAATGTGTGTTCTGTCGTGTTGTGGGAATTCACGTTACGAATTCCCTGGGGAACGGGGCTCAGGAGGAACTGGAAACACAGCTGGTCCCCTCTTCCTTGCCGCCTCTTCTCTCTCCCCGTCCTGCTCCCCATTCTGTACTGGGAGGTAACAGCATCAATTCTCGGACGCAGACAAGCACTGTCCCTAATCCCACCTCTCACGAGCACCACGGAGCGTTTGTTAGAACCGTATGTGTGCACTCATCTGTTTTACTCTTCTCTCCCTCTTCCAGCATTCTGATGACCTGCTACTGAATGCACTTTGCAAGTACTGGCTCATTTAATCCTCAAAACTTTTGTACTCGCACCACTCTGTAGATGAAGAAACTGAGGCTCAGAGAGGTGATGTGACTTTCCCTGGCCACAAAGCCACAGACTGGCAAGGGCCAATGTTCAAACACAGACCTCTTAGATTCCAAAGCTGCAGTTTCAGCCTCTCCCATCAATCTCCCCCTGCTTCCTTCTCCCCTTCCCTCCCGCTCACACTGACTCTTGCTCGCCCCCTCCTTAGCGCACACTGTGTCTAAGCCACATATTCTTTGGCAGACAAGTGGGGGTGGCAATGGGAAATGGATGACCAGATGGGTGGTGAGTGCAAGCCTGGCTTTGTCTTTTCATGGCTACCAAGCATGGTTCTGGGGAAGCATCTGGAACCCATGATCCCATTCTGGCCCTCCCCCAGGTTCCTGGGGTGAAGGAAAGAGCAGAAAAGGGTCCATCTGCAAATGTGTGGCTGTGAAGACAGGGAAATTGTCCCTGGACTGGCCCTGGCAACCAGACTCCGAGCCTGCCGTTCCTATGAATATGACAGGGGCCTGTGGCAGGGCCTTTCCTTTAAGATTCTGGGAAGGACCTGATTTTGCAGGGGCCCCAGGACTGTGCCTGGCCTCAGTCTAATCTAGGAGATAACGCCCTGGTCTGGGAATCAGGAGACCAAAGGTCTGAGCATGATGTTGCTACCAACTTGGAGGACCCTGGGCAAGACATTGCTTCTCTTGGGTTTCTTCACTTATAAAATGGAATAGTCATCCCAGGCCTGTCCATTTCTCAGGATGGGCACTTTGGCACGGGGAGTGCTCCAAGCCAAGGAGGTTCCTTTCCAAGGAGAAAAGGAGCAGAGACTACAAGACAGCCAGCATCAAGATGTGTCATTCTCTTGGACGGGGCCAGGACCATCTCACTGAACACCTCCTGATAGCATGGCCTTAGCCAGTCCAGGAGCTCTGGCCCAGACCATGACTGAGGAATATGGGGCCAGGAGAGGAAGAAAGGAGATGAGGAAGAGGGGAAGTTGTAAGAATGATACATAGGGTTGGGAGGAGGAATAGAAAAAACTGGCCTCGGGATAACAGGTCCAGAGGTTAGCACCCTGGATCCTGGGTAGTATTTCAGCCCCAGCTCTGTTCCTCACTCCAGTGACAGGTCAATCAAGCACATCTCCTCTCTGAGCCTCAGTTTCTCAAGTCATCTCAGATTTTATGACGTCAGCTACATCCTCCACTTGCCTTTCAGAGTCTGGCTCCATGGCTTCATTGCCAAGTACCCTTCCTTGAGCTCCCCATCTCCTGCCTCCTAAAATTCCTGCCTCTGCCCTCTGAGCCCAACAATCCTCAGTTTAAGCCTGATTCCCTTATGTCTAGACTTACACTGTGTCACACATCATAATACAGAGGCTGCAGTTGAGTCACCTTTGGTCCCTCCTATCAAGCATTTTATACACAGGTGCTTAACAAACATTCTGTGAGTGATGCAATGTGGTCATACAGACAGATGGATGGATGCCTGAAAGGATATGCCTGCTTTGTCTGCTGATTAAGCTCCTGGTCAAAACTTATCTCCATAAAAAGCCTCCTGGACTCATTCTCAGCCACATACTCCTTCTTCCACAACTCAGCCAAAAAAGTTACAATCCCCACTGCTGCCCCTATGCCCTGTCCCATCTCAAAGGCTCCTCCACTTGTCACCCTTCCTTAACCAGCAGATTCCAACACCATGGGCCTGACAGTCCAAGGAGCTGGGCCCCTGCCGCCTGCCCCTGTTTACCCCACGCTCCTGGGGCTTTCCTGCCATAGAAAACCCCACAGGAGTCCTTATGAGGGTTCCTGCAAGTTACAGAATTCAGAGGTCACAGGCTCAGGGAGGGGAGGTGCCCAGACAGATAGATGACTCTTCATAGAAGACCCAAGTCCTCGCCCCAAATTGCTAGCACTTCAACCCACCCTGCAACACACATATGTACATGCCCTCGTCAAGAAAGAAGCGGAATCTTACCTTGATGCTCCTCCAGCTTGCCCATGGTCTCCATCTGCTCCACCAGGTCATTTGAATTCCACTGGCTCATCCCAATGAGGATGGCACTCTTCCCTTCAGCCACCTCCTCTGTGGGAAGGAGCAGAGACGGCCATGAGCAGGCAGGGCTAGGTACAGGTAGCCCTCACAGAAGCTTATATCTGTGGAAGTACTTATTTCATTCTGAGGTGTCTATAGTTACGACAGGTATGAGACATTTAGGGATTTTTCATTGCAAGAGAGTGTTGTACCCTACTGGGCCTCCACATCTTACAGCAAAAGAAAGTAACAAGGGGACAGTCATGAGAGAACCCACAGAAGGTTCCATTCCTAGCCCTAAGAGCAATATTTCTTGAAAGGTAGTATGTTTGGGCAGGGGGGAAAACTTGCCACTGTTAGCGGTTTTTCTTTGGGTAAGTTACTTACCTTCTCTGAGCCTCAGTTTTACCATCAGTAAAATGGGACCGGAAATGTCTAACTCACAGAGTTGTCATGAGGACTAGGTGATATAGTGGGTATAAAGGTCTTGGTGCATAGAGAGTATTCATAGATGAGAGACACCATGGTTATTTCTTCACATGAGAAGTGAGTTGCTATCAGCATTTGAGGGGGCCGGGATTTGAGTGGGGCAGGAGCAGCTCTGGAGTAACTGGAACAGCAGAAAACTTCTGGCTGGCTCTACGCAAGCCTTGAGCTCTGTGGAACCCACATTGCAACCTTAAGAGCCTCTTAATGCCTCCATTCCCCACCCCCAATGCTCCCCCTCAACCCTGTCTCTGTCCTTGCTCTTTCTCAGTCTGAGCTTAGATCACTCTGGGAGGAATTGGTGCAGCCATATTCCCTAACCACACAGGACACAAGCCCCTGGGTCCCACACATCTGCTGCTGTCCCTCATCCAAGAAAAGGGCATGTGCTCAAGGACAAACCCACGGGAACGCTCCGCACCCCTCGTTGAAGAGATGGGCCTTCTTGGTGAAGAGCTTTGTGTCTTCCTACATTGAATAGATATTAAATGGTGGTGAGGAGAATCCTCAAGCTCATGATAACCAAGAATAAAGAGAGACCAGTTCGCTTTACAGAGCAGGTGGAACCAATATGATGGATCTGAAGCTTGGGGAGCTGTCCAAAGTTCTGAATCGCTCCAGAGCTTAGTAATCTAAACCCCATTTCTGGCCGGGGTCTGGATGATGATGATGATGATTATTCCTGACTTATCTGATTTATTTAACAACACATTAAACCCTTACTATGCACTGAGATTTTTATAAATGTTAATTCACAATTCTTATAACAATA